CAGGAATGGAGAGGAGGGCTACCAGTTTCAAAAGGAGGGTTTGGGTGCCTTTACTACTGATCAGATGACTTCAGTAAAAACCAGTGTGCTAGAACATGTTGATATCACTCTGAAGGCTCTGATCTGGCAAATATTTCCATCCAAATGCACCAGTTATTTCTGTGAATAGTCCTTGGCTCCAGAATAGTTCTCAAGGATATATCCCGATTATAGGCCACATCTAATTTGAAACCCCTGACTATGCCCATTGAAGTCACTGCTGCAGGCTGATAAGGCATTACATGAAGTGACTTCATTACTTGCAGGGATGCAGATATCATGACAGCTACAGTGGAAAACAAATCAAGTAAAATATATAAATACCATGAATATACAATATCCAAAAGCCACGAGATTTTCTGGTTTAATTTAATTAGCTATTCATGAATCCTTAGATTTAGAAAAGAAATCTTTTTAAAAATTGCCTCCAAAACAAATAAAAGTCCTATTCATATAAATCTACTTCATGTTCTACAGTTTAGGTTTAAGAATGTTCTGTAATTAAGGATCAGAAATACTGAATCCTGCATGTGCAGGGGATTTGACAGGATGATCTGAAAGTCCTTTCTAAATCTCTTATTCTATGATAATTTGTTTCTCATTTGGAACAGATATGACAGCTTTGGGCAGTATCATTTTTCCTGTGTTTTTTTTTCCCCTATAATTTTTATATACAATTTTGATTATTATCAATTTCCAAACTTTAATTTGTTATCTGCTATTCCAGGAAGTTCACAATTCAATTAATTAAAGAAAAAAAATATAATTTGTATGGTACATTAATCTGTACAATCTAAAAGCACTATGAACAAATATAAATATAGTTACAATTAAGCACTAATCATTTAAATTACACACGCTAAAATGTGAAAATAATGTATTTTTCATAGAATATTGAATAGATAAATGAAGCCAATATTTCTAACAAACAAAAGTCTGACACTATATGCAATACATAAAGTTGCAATTGGTACTTTCATTTTTGAGTATCATATTTTATGAAGCAATACTTTCTTAAGTATTTACCATTATCAAGTTCAAGAAAACATAACATTTTATATTTACCTGTTTAAGTATGTTATGAGCAAGGGATTTTTCTTTATTTAAAATATAATATTCAAAAGAATAACATATGACATTTATTTTATTTTATTTTATTTATAAAAGTGTCTAACACAAGGATTCCTAGCATATGTAGAGATTTTTTAAAAGTGTTACAGTATTCATACAGACCATTGTCGACAAAAGCATTTCTTATATTAATGCTCACTCACACATGTGTATGTGCATGCATAATCACAAAAAAGATCTGGGAAGATATAAGCCTATAATTACTATGTTCTGGTTGCCAAGAGATTGAGGCTGTGTCAAGCTAGTAAGGAAAGTGAATTCTAGATCTGAAGGCTGCATTTTGAATATTTTGCTTTCAGCCATATTGCTTCAAATCATGAAACTGGTAGCAAAAACATTTCAGATGATCTCAAGTATTAAGCATTTGAGTGATTGCCAAGGAAAGTGGTTTTAGTCTAAACATCCTTCAAATTCATAAAAAGACAGGAGGGCTCCAGCCATTCTAAATATTAGAAACCTACATTTTATCTTACTAGATTAAAAGTCAAGGTGGGTCTGTGAAACTATTTGTTCTTTTTCTCAGAAGAAGAGATCTGACTGTATGGTCTGTAATTTGGGGACATTAATTGTGAATATTTCTTCAACACCCCATACAGCACAATTTATGAACAGAGAATGGTATTACCAATTCCATGCTCTACTTTGTGTCCTTTTGTCAGTACAATGTGTGCTTATACAATGGATTGCAGTAATGACTGTGCATCTATAGAAAATATGAGAATTTACGTCTCCGGATGACTAGCTGATTAAGGTTAATTCAGGATTATTAAACCACTGGAGTCTGAGGCAAAGGAGCAGATTCTTTGCCTTTGGTTCAGTGATGTGTGAGGCAGGGTGAAGGAGTAGATGCATAAAAAGCCAGTTTCTCTGCAGAGTAGGTAGTTAGGAGGTGGGCAGAATAACAGAAGATGGGCAGAACTTTTGCTCCACTTTCCCTTTCCACACTATTCAGCTGTCCAGGACATCTGAACCATCTCAGGACACAGCTTTGGGGGAGGGTGGCACATATTCATTATTAGTATTGAAAAGCAATGAATTGAGGGGGAAGCCAGGAAAGAACATAGGACAGATGGTTTCAAAGCATGGCATCTGTTGGGGGGGATACTATTAAAACAGTGCAGGGTGTAGACCAGGGGTGGGCAAAATGGTGGATCTGACCAGTGACTGGGCTCCATTTCCCAGGAGCACCTGCCTGTGTTGTTCCGGACGGTTTCCATGGAGACCCCAGGATCAATGGGGCCATGACAGTGTGGGGCCAGGGCCTTCATGGAGACCAGCCCAAGCAGCACTGGCAGGGGTCAAGACTGGGTGAGGAGCTGCTCCAGGGCGAGGGCTGGGATTTTGCAGCAGTGACAGTGTGGGCCAGAGATGGGGCAGAGCTGTGATCCAGTGCCTGAGTGCCCAGGGCATGCAGGCAGCTGATCGCAACTCTGCCTTGGCTCTGGCCCATGCTGTCATCACTGCAAGATCCCAGCCCCAGCCCTGGAGCAGCTCCCTGCCCAGCCATGAGCCCTGCAAGCACCTCTTGAGCTGGTCTCCATGGAGACCCTGTTATGGCCCTGTCAATCAGGTGGTCTCCATGGAAACCAGCTGGAGTGACATGGGCAGGGACTGCTGGGAAATGGAGTCCATCATAGGCCTGATCCAGCCCATGGGCCAGATTTTGCCTGCTTCTGGTGTAGACTGACCCTTGACCGGGAGCCTAGAAGGATAGTCTAATCCTTTCAAGTACCGTGTACCTTGGCTTATCTTGGAATGTTATCTTTGGTGGAGCTAATTTATACCAGCTAAGGATCAGGACATTTGTAGGAAATGGAAGCCCATATTCCAAACAGCGTCAATATGGATGAAAAAAACTTCATGGATAGAATTTAAATCTGATCGTATGTATTAGTTCTGAGTGTAAACTCATGTAGTATTTGTATGTTTCCAATTAACCATGAGCTGTCTCTTCTCTTCTGTAGGTTATTACAATTGGGAAGCACGTAAAAGGTTACCATTACATCATTGCGAATCTGGTAAGTGATTTTCATATCATTAAGTTCCTCAATTTATCTGTGACCAATTTATATACCATTGTTCTTGTGTCATCATTCTCTATAAGCTTAAATAGCTCTTCACCCTCTCCTTTATTTCCCAAAGTATGTATAGAAAACAGAGATGTAGTAAGCCATGTTAGTCTGAAGTTAAGTAGATGATGGGGTAGATTTGCACCTTATAGACTAAACAAAGTATATATTTATATACTTCTACATATTTATCATGATGAGAATGGACAACCTACCTTACATGATGAGAATGGACAACCTACCTTACAAGAGGAGCTTGGTTTGTCTCATCTACTACAGTGAAGGCAGAGAGGGAGCATGACTGTTTTCTGAACATCTGCTGAAGCAAGCTCCTGTCCATGAATGCTTATCCTTCTTCAGATGTATAGAAAACAATCATGCTCCCTCTGACGAATGGCCAGATTCTCACTGGGGTACATAAATCTTAAGCCTGTAATGCTTTCCTGATTTACACCAACTGATTAATGGGTTCAAGGGCTTTGAAAAAAAAGGGTTTGAAAGTAAATCTAAAGGCAGTTACTTCACCCCTTGGCATGGGGCCAAAACAGAGCTTTGGGATGGGGTGGCTTTAAATCATTTCCATAGTTTCATAGTTGTTAGGGGCTGGAAGGGACCTTACAGATCATCGAGTCCAGCCCCCCTGCATGTGGGCAGGAAAGGCTGGATCAATATTGTTTCCTGATTTTTTGGTGGCTGTTTAGAAATAAGGTAAGTTACAGCAGAGCTGTAGTGGGATCTAACTTACATTCTGTTCCCTATGATCCTATAAGGGTTCTGTGAAGTCATGCTCATTTCCTATTCCTGACCTACCTTCTATAGGATTCATACTGTTAGACCCTGACTCCATGCAGTGCCCAATGACTAGGGAGACGCTGGTCCAATTACCCATGGATCCCGTTACTCATTAGCCAGAGCAGAGCAGGGAACAAACACCAACACACATGGCTTGCAACAGCTTTATTCAGAATGGAGACAGCTTTGGGCAAGCTCCCTCACCGACAGAATATGGGGAGTAGCCCTGAACAACAGTTCTTTCCAATATTTATACCTTGGTTCATACATATTAACATTTAACCTTCCTATAACCTTTCTTTGGTTCCACCCATTTCTCCTCCTATCTCAAGCTCCACCTCTGTTTACTATTTGCATCCTTAGCATGGTATTGCCAATGTATTTCATTCATTTGCATGCCTCTCTGATAAGAGCGCATGCATAAAACTTTTGACCGCTATCTTCTTTTGGTCATTTTGCAGTTTATTACTGGTTCTTGCTGGTTTTCTTGCTGACTTCTCCATCTCCAAGGCTGTATCTTTGTTTTTGTCTCTTGACACTGGTTGCTTAACAAATCATGCTCTTTGAACCCTATCATTTTGTTAAGAATCCGCTTACTTAAGCTAAGTTAGTTGCTTTTAATATATCAGCTAGCCTTGTGACCACCAGCTTTTGCTGAGGTTACCTTTTAATATATAATCCAATCTTGTGACCAGCAGCTTTTTTGCTGAGGCACAGGAAAAAGCCTTCATTCAGCTGCACTCTCAGTACTCCCAAAATTCATATCGTTACCCCAACATCCAAAATCCATATTGTTACCCTAACACATACCAGTGAAGGAAGATACTTGCATATGATTTGTTTTTGAGTGGACCCTTAATGTGATCTAGAACGATCTAAAATGGCATTAGTTTAACAGTGAGTCACCTATTTAAGATCTCTTGGAAAGCAGAGAAATGTGGAAATATGTTTAATAACATGAACTTCATTTTCAATTTTTTAAGAATAAAAGAATCCATGTGCTGGGAAATGTGAAAAACTATAAAATATTAATGTTTCATTTCAAATCACTTCTTGAGCTTAAAGGAAAGAAAATAAAAAAGTGGTACAGGTTCATTTCAGCATATTGATACTAATATGTGTAAGGTTGAATGATTCCCATAGTGATGCTCATACCAGTAAGTAATGCTATCCTCAATGAGCAGCAATATTATTATGTGGTATGCAGTAGCTAAAATGCATTAGCATAGTAATTGTGACAGCTTTTGATCATAGTGGCTAGTGTTGCTGCATCTTTGTCTGTTCATTATGAAAACATTCTGGGTGTACTTCAAGTTAAGTGTCTCAAATCAGGGTTTCAATTTAAATTTATTAGCATAGTTATTTATGTTGATTTGACAGCAATGGATCATGAAAAGCAAAACAGATTTATTGAAGTCAAATAACTGAATAATAAATAAATACATACTCGTACATCATCTTTTTCATCAGGTGTGGCGAAGTCCTTCAGTATTGACCTTAGAACTGGTCTTATTTCCACGGGCTCAGAGGGAGCAGGGTCAAATCTCAGTTCTCACTCTACAAACACCTGTTGAAATCAATAGATTTCATTCTGCAAACACACACAAAAGTTACAATGTACAGAAGTTACTAAAATAATATTGAGGATTCAGGAAAGTGCTGAGGGATTGGGAGAAAGGAGATGTTAAGCAATATCCCCCATCCTATGATTCTCCTGAGCTCAATAGGGGAAGAGAATGCACAGTGAATTTTGCAAGGCTCATTATCTTCCCTGTCTTCTCATGATCTTCATAGGTTCATCCTTCTCTGATGGAACTCCTTAAGCTTGTCAAGGTTTGAAACGCCAGCAAGGCCTGAAAGGATGGGGGCTGAGAGCTGTCACTGCCTAAGTCTTGTGGGCGGCTGTCAAGTTCCTAAGAATAAGAATGGGACAGATATTCTTACTCTGTTAGAGACTCCCTTGTGAACTCTGAACAACTCTATGGCCTTTTAGGGAGACAGATCCATGTTAGGAGTTTCCTTGAGAAAGCAGTTAAGGAAAAATTAAGTTGAAGGTAAACATCTATAAAATGAATTGAGGATTAATTTATGATTACAAAAATCATACATGAAATGCATGTGGAATTCATTCAGAGTTCAGTTTACGAGAAATTAAAATATATATGGAATATATGGAAATTCACCAGTAATGTGCCCAATCTACCTTAACTCTGCTTTGTTATAATACCTGAGGAATAGCAAATAGCATCCTTAGAAGGCAGAGAAAACTTATTCAAGACCTCATCATCTTTTGTCTTTGTTACTATAACCTCCTCTTCTCTTTCTGATACTCACATCACCCTGCTCTCCCTGTTGGTCCATTCAAAGTGCAGCTGCTGAGATCATCCTCTGCTCCTTGCCTGTCATTCTGACCACTTCTTTGAATCCTTTCATTAGCCTTTTCATCCATATAAAGTCATTTACTTCTAGGCTCTTTCACAACTCTGCCCCTCTCTGTTGCCTGCTCCAGTCTTTTCTTAGAGCAGAGTAAATAAATTTACAAAAAGAGCTATTGTTTTTCCAAATGAAACAAAGGACATATCTGGTTGTACCAGATTCCAAGTAAACTGAAAGTCACCTCTGTGTAGATTACCTCCTTTATCAAAACTAATTTAACATACCTCTTTGAATTTGAATAAGTGATATTTCATTGTCATCTATTTTCTCTTTTTATATATTCCTTATATGTGAAGCAGAGAAGCATTCAGTTTCATGTATTAGTGGAGGCCTGTCCTCATTAATCTGTCAATGGATTTGTCTCTAATAATATCGTTAAATGATTTGACTCTTCCAGTAGGTTAGAAGAGCTTTTATTCTATGAGAGAATAAGAAAGTTGAAGTCACCAAAATATCTTTGTTCAGTCTTCTCACATCTTGTCTGCAATGGTCTCTACAGTAAGAAAGTGATTTGGCATGCTCACTGTCCCTGCTCAGGGCTAAACCATATATGTAGCCACTTTTCATGATAATAAGGCAGGCTACCCATATGAGTACTCCCACTGGAAGAAATAAGATTGCACACAAGAATAAGTGCTCACTATTACAAAGATCTCTCACTTCAGCACATTAGTAAATGGAAATATCAAGAAAGCAACATGATCACTTCCCAGCATTTCCAGCCATAGCTGGCCCACAACACTGGAGTCCAAGATTTAAATTGAAAACCCTATGTGAGGAAAATGTTGGCTTACATTTCTGTAGAAAAATTGTATGGTGACTTCTTACTTGTATGTAATATTGACAATGGTGATAATAGTACTGAAAAATGGCATAAATGTTTTCTGTGCCCAGGGGTTTACTGATGGAGATCTATCAAAAATTCAGTTTGGAGGAGCTAATGTCTCAGGATTTCAGATAGTAGACTATGATGATCCCTTGGTGTCAAAATTTATACAACGCTGGTCAACCCTAGAGGAAAAAGAATATCCAGGAGCTCACACCAGTACAATTAAGGTATGTTTTTAATTTGTACTTATTGTAACTGATAAAGGAAATTAAGCAAGAGGCTGGGGAAGAAGACAAGAGCCAGAGGAAGTCCTGTGCCAACAAAATGCTATGTTCCTCCAGGCTACTTTTAGCATCCCTACAATGTAGCTGTTGAAGAGAAATCCTGTGCTGTCACACGTCTGAAACATTTTTTTTAATACTATTCTATTTTTGTGCCTGGCAATTTATTGTGCAATTGTTTGATGTGATCATCTGTTATATAGGCACTGACATTTGCTGTTTTTATATACGCTTTGAATTTTAAACTTTCTTCCTTAAATCACACACGTGCACTCAGAAACACACAGGACCGCACATGTGCATAAACCTTTCTGATGTAACAAAGTTTTCTTGTTTCAGATTTTGTGCTAAAATTTTATAAAATATATGCAAAATACAGCACTGTATGAAAGAGAGGTGTGGTCTCCTTTCAGTCCCGAGTGACCTGCTGTGTGACATTGGGATGGCATTTAACTTCAGTCTTATTTTCTCCTCTGGGGAAAACTGAGATAACATTTTCTTACCTTCCAGGGCAATTAAGAGGATCAAGTAATGCTTGTAAGGCATATTGACAATGTAGAGAGATCCAGCACAATTAAAGCAAATAACTAGAAGCGGTAAGAACAATATACGTTAGGACAAAAGATGTTTACATTAATAGCACATTATAACACCCTTTTCTGTGTTTTAAATTTAATATAAGAACCATTCCTGTATAGCAATTACATAGATAAGACTTGTTGGCAGGTCAGTGAATTGCAACACACAAAACAAAACATAAAGCACCAACCTTAATATAAAGGGCAAACAATGTACCGTGTTTCATATTTATGACAGCTTGCTTGGGGGTACTCAGCTGGATGCATTATTGTACTGTGATTAGTTTTGTGCATATAATGGGTTTAAAAACTTATTGCAGGGGAATTTCTTATCTTCTTTTCATGACAGAACAAGCTTGAAGCTATATCACGTCCTCAATTTACATATGTAGATTTCACTGGTGCATTCAGTGGAAGTATGGTTATACTGTGAATTATGCATTTAATCTATACATCCTTCTTTTCTGAGCTCTTCTTTGATTTTGGCACCTTTTGCTCATGTTGATGTACCTTACTCCATAAGGTAGTCACACTGATGTCAGTTGCAGTCTGCTAAGCACCACTTATAATGAGGGACTGAAGGAATTCAAAGAGATGACTTGACCGCAGCTTTTAAATATAACATTTACGCAGGGAGATGAGATCTGATGTTAATAAGCTATTTACTTTACCAAACACAAGACCAGAAGTTAGAGTGTTAAGTCAGCAGAGTTGAACTGGAAATTGGATGCCAGTGTTTTGAAATGAGAATAATTAATCATTGGAATATATTGTCAAGGGATATAGTAAATTATATCTCACTTAGAGTACAGGTAAAATTACATGGCCTGTGTTATGCAGGAAGTCAGATTTCATAATAAAATGGTCCTTTGTAGATTTAAAATCTGCCAGTTTATGATGTAGATGTCTTCTAACACTTCCAAAATTATTTGTTTCTCTGCAATATTTATCGCATGGCTTGCCATGGATTAAAGACATGAGAAGGAATTGCTTTCTTGTGTGAAAGCAAAATCGTCTGCTCTTGAGCATTCCACACTATTTATTAGGAAAAAAAATTAACATTAATTATTAAATTTAATTTAACTTTACAGTCGGTCCTGGATCTGACATGGTGCAATATTCAAACAATGGCTGACTAAGATGTATATCAAATTTATAAAAACAAACTTAACAAGCAGCAAGATGTTAAAACATCACAATGCTGCATCTAATAGCAAGTGTACTTGGGAGATTTTGGAGGTATCCACGTCCACTTTTCTTGAGCCAAAATGCCTTCATATCTAGCACTGCACTCTTTTGTTGGAGTTTTTGTTTTTTTTTATCTCCTCTCACATAGTTCTGTCTTTCCCAGCTCCAAAGGAAGTAGTGGTAGAATAATAGAACATTGTATCCCCTCCTCCTAGGTAAGATAAATATTCAATCAAAATTGTCAAGATAAGCTTCTAGGCTAACCTTTGAAATTCTGTATCAAATGGACCCAAGAGGCAATACAAGTTTTGCATTATGGATATGTAAATGAAAAGCGGTGACACCTCCCTGGCTAATCACTGTAGATTCCATGTGCTTGGAGGCCATGGTTCTCTTATCTTCTGTTTGTCTAACATTCAAATGGAATTGTAAAAGGGTCATTTTACAGGATGATATGAAATGCAATGCAATGTGACTGATATAACTTGACAACACAGCAGCAGGGTATAACCTGGAGAATGGAAATTAACATATATTTGTGAAAAAAATGCATGTACAAGGGAGCATGCTTTTCATAAAGATTCTTGACACGTAATGTCAGGGTCACCCACAACCTGAATGAATCACTTCTTTAAATACCACTTTATACCATTTCTTAATAGTTTTAAAGCAATTATGAACTGGAGGACATTACAGTATAAATAACATAGGACTGGGCAACCATGACCTTGTAACAGAGCCTGAATTCCTTGTAATAAAGCCTCTGTCTTTAAAGATAGAGTTTTATATAGTTTATGATAATTTATATAATCTGCAATAATTTTAGCTGACTCTTATTTTTCATACAGAATTGGATTGTAAGGCTTATGGATATTGGACTGCTTTTTTCAGGCTTCCATTGACCAGAGAGCATGGCTATTTTTTTTTGTCATTCAGGAAAAGCAAACGCTTTACTTATATAAAGTAGTATGAATACCTTAATATTTATTTTAAGTGCCTACAACTGTTGGCACTGGATTTGGACCTAGCCCTCTGTCCATGGTGGCCTCAAAGACCCTTCCTGGGGCAGGGAGACAGGGATGGGGATGGGGATAGGGACCCCTCTCAGGGAGCAAGACTGGGAGGGGCAAGGAGGAAGAGAAGGAGGGATGAGACAAAGGAATAAGGAGGGACCCTTTGTTAATCTCATGTCTCTGCTTTTGTATTCTCCTTCCCCCTTGATGACTCCTGATGACTCATTATTTGTGGCTATCTCTGTTCGGTTGTCTGTCTCTGGTCACACATCCACGTAGCCTTTTGGACTTTCTCCTAATTTGATCGGTTTCCCCAAAACCGGGACTCAGGCCCCCCCCCTGCTGCTCCGGGGCCTTGTAGCTGGTGTCACTTATCTTGTATTATGGGACAGTATTGTACATACTTCCTTGGTTTCCAGGCTTTGTGTCCTTGTTGTGTTAGACAAACTGTCTGCCTTGAAGGCTGTGATCTTATGTTATGGCATGCCCCCCACAATTCTCAGGCCGTGTCCATCCGTTGGCCTTGTTGTGCTAGAGAGCCAGCCTGCCTACTTCCAGGGCTATGTGCAACTCTATGTGTGAAACACAGGCTTTTACAAATTAGTTAACCCCTGCTGCCCATCTTGAACCCTTATAATGCATATATCTACAGCTATAAACCAATTCCCAAAAAACAGACCTTTAAATACCATTTTCAAGCCAACAACAACAAGCTGGAAAATTTGTTCTTTGCAAGCTTTTGGGCACAAATACCCTCCTTCAGACATAACGAGAGTCACCTCCTTGCCTGAAGATGGGTGTTTGTGCCTGAAAGCTTGCAAAGAACAATTTTTCCAACTATTTAGTAGGTTTAATAAAGGATATCACATCTACCCAAAGAACCTTGTTTGCCTATGTCCTTAGACCAACAAGGCTACAATCAACAACCCTGTAACATGCTGAGAATTTGTAGAATGCTTTGAAGAACTGAATATGGAAGCTATATATACAGATGTAGCAAATTAGGTCCACATCAGATATATAAAGAAACAATTGTCAACAGCTGAGACATTTTGTGTGCCTTCTTTTTAAGCCTTCATAGGTTTAGAATTTCAAGCTTTTATTTATAACTGTTAAACACTTTTTAAAAATGAAAGCACATATACATTACCAAAATCCTATGATTCCAGGACCCAGAGCTTTCAGAAATATAGCAAATAATGTAAGGCTTTTGATAAACTGGAAGAAGTGAGAACACTAACCCCCACCCAATTGTGTAATACAGTTCTGCCAATATAGTTATAGTATTGGTTGTTATATTCAAAGACATTATATAAAGTACATGCTTGCACGGAGGTTATGTAGAATAATTAATTTACTTCTGCAAGCTAAAATAAAGGAATGGATCATTTTTCAACACTGAGGAGCAAAAGAGAACAGAAAGTAATTTTTCAAAGTAGACATTTAGAACGTGCAAGCTACATATAATCCAGTAAGGATAAATAAATCTACAATTTAAAAATTAGGCAACTCTGCCATTTCGGGCATATTTCCTTTGTCTAGATTAGGTTTTACAGTTTTATAACACCAGACTTCTTATAAAAGGGTTACAAAAATGCTATTCTTTTCTACCTTCCTTGCTTTTAATGGAAAAAAAAAAGATTGATTGGGTTTGAAATCAAATAATTCCACAGAGTCTACAGACTATACTAATTTAGGGTGAGATTATACATTACAATTAGATTATTTTAAGAACACTTAAAACTGGAATGATCACCCATTAAGACTCATTAACACATGCTAAATTCCCTTTCAGCATTTTAAAATTATACCACTTCACGCAAGAATTATCTTTGAGCTATGCTACATAGCAGGCACATCTACATGTGCATTAAAGCACTGTAGTTACTGCACATTAATCTTAGTACCTGTAATAACAGGTACTAACTCAATGTGCAGGAAGTGGCACTACTGCACAGTAAATAGGACTGGTGCATGCCTTTTTAGTGATACTAATGTGCAGTAGACTAATTCTAGTGCATGTTAGTATACTAGCACAACTTTTGCCATGATATGCTAATGCACAGTAGAATTAGTCTACTGCACATTTACCGCATCATGTAGATGCACCCAGCATGCGTTAAATTAACTTATGGATATTCACCTGAGATAAAACCACCAATATGCA